GGGAGGGGGAAGAAAGCAGGTTGGGGGTGGGAGCAGATAGGAGCCCCAGGTGCCTGGGTTCCTTCCAGCTGCCTTCCCCACCCAGAGCTTGGGGAGACAACCCAGGCATGGGGGCCGGTGGCAGAGGGTGGATCTCACAGCCTCTCCCCTTCCCTAGGCCAAGGCGCCTACTTCTCCCAGGAGCCTGAGGACCAGGTGGTGGTGGCTGGCCAGGCCGTGACGCTGCCCTGCGTGATTGTGGGCTACCAGGGCATGGTACAGTGGACCAAGGACGGGCTGGCCCTGGGTGGAGAGCGAGACCTTCCAGGTACGGGCACTGGGGGGCGCCTACAGTGGCCAGCAGGGCCCCCAGGGGGCACCAGGGCTGGTTCTACCCAACTGGAAGCAGTGGTGGCCAACAGGAACCACTAGAAGGCTGCAGTGTAATAGCACTGGGGACACCAGGTGTCCCCAGGGCCCTCTGGGGTGGTTAGTAGCCCTGGGGGGGGCACCAGGGGGCACAATGCAGTGGCCAGCAGAGACCCCCAGGGGTGTCAAGGCTGTATCTGCCTATCTGGAGGCTGCAGTGGCCAATGGGGAACACTAGGGGGCACTAGATGCATTGCAATAGCCTTGGGGAGCACTGGGTGCCCTCTGGGGTGACTGTGGCCCTGGAGGGGCACTAGAGGGCACCCTGCAGTGGCCACCAGGGCCCCCCAGGGGGTATCAGGTCTGTCTCTACCCAACTGCCCTACACTCCTGGCCTGCCCACCTTACCATGCTGCATTAGTGCAGTGTGCCCCCCCGGCACTGTTGTGAGGAAGCTCGCAGCACCCTCCCCCCAATGCTGGGGCACTGTTGTGAGGAAGACTGGAGGCAGCATTAGCCAATGGGAGCCATTAGGGGGCTCTAGACCCATTGCAATAGCACTGGGGGCCTCTGGGTTCCCTCTGGGGGGGGTTGTGGCTCTGGGGGGGCACTAGGGGTCTGGGGGAGGGCTCTATGGGGCACTGCAGTGGCCAGCGGAGACTGTCAGGGGGCACCAGGGCTTCAGCTGGAGGCTGCAGTGGCCAATGAAGGCCACTAGGGGGCTCTAGACCCAGGGGAGCCCCCAGAGTGGGCTGGGGGATGAGCTGCGGGAGGACACTGGGGGGCACTGCTGACCTTTCTCTGTCTGTCTCTCTCCCCCCGCCCCACCCAGGCTGGGCACGCTATTGGCTGGCGGGGGCAGCTGGGGCGGGGCAGCATGGGCTCAGCATCGCAGCGGCTGAACTGGGCGACGACGCAGAGTATGAGTGCCAGGCCACACAGGCTGCCCTGCGCTCCCGGCCTGCCCGCCTCACAGTGCTGCGTGAGTGCAGTGTCCCCCCCACCCTGTGGCACTGTTGTGGGGAAGCTTGCAACACAGCCCCTCAATGCTGGGGCACTGTTGGGGGGGGGAAGCTCACAGCCCTCCCACCAGCAATGGGGACACTGCTCTGAGGAAGCTCAACCCCCGCTTCCCCCCAGGCTGGGGCACTGTTGTGGGGACGCTTGCAACATCCCCTCCAGGCTGCAGCACTGTTATGGGGAAGCTCACAGCACCGCTCCCCACCTGGACAATGGGGGCAGTGGTCTGAGAGGAAGCTCACAATCCCCACCTCCTCAATGCTGGGGCACTGTTGCAAAGAAGTTCCCACCACCCACCCCAACCCCAGGGCACTGTTTAGAAGCTTACAGCCTTCCCCCCACTCCTCCCCCAGTGCCCCCCGAGGAGCCGGTGATTGAAGAGGGGCCGCGGGTGCCAGTCCGGGCGGGGCGGGCCCAGAACCTGACATGCCGGGCAGGGGGCGCGAGGCCAGCCCCCGAGCTCCGCTGGGCCCGTGATGGGCAGCCCCTCACTGGCGCCCTCTACGCCAAGGTATGGGCCAGGCACTGAGGGGTTAACGGGCCTTTAATACACCCTCCCCCACCTTTAGGGGGAGGTGTGATAATGGTGAAGGGGCGGAATAAAGGGGTGGTGGGGATGGGACAGGAGTGGTGTGGGGGATTTAAAGGGGCTGTGGCTGTGAAGGGGCGGTGGAGGGTCTTAAAGGGGAGGTGGTGGTGGGATTAATGGAATGGGGGCATCAGAGATGGGATTAAATGGGTGTGGGTGGAAGAAAGGGGTGGTGGGAAGGAGATAGGAATGGTAGGGAGGCCTTAAAGGGGCAGTGGGGAGGGATAAGGATGGTGGAGGCAATTAGAGGGGCATGAATGGAATAAAGGGGCAGTGCAGGCAGAATTGGGCTCTGGGGGCATTAAAGGGACAGTGAAGGTGGGACAAGACTGGTATGGGGCATTTAAGGGGGCAAGAGTGGAATAAAGTGGGGGTAGGGATGGGGTTAGGAATGGCACGTGGGGGATTTAAAGCATGGTAGGGACTTTAAAGGGGAGGTAATGTTGGGATATAAATGGTGTGGGGAAAATAAAAGTGGCAGCAGAGATGGGATTAAAGGGGCAGAGGTGGAATAAACAGACAGTGCAAGTTTGATAGGAAAGGTATGGGGGGCCTCAAAGGGGCAGTATAAGGAGGGGAGTAATGGTATGGGGGCAATTAAAGGGACAGTGGGGTGATATTAAAGGGGCAGCAAATTAAAGGGAAGGTGGGGAGTGGAATATGAGTGGTCTGGGAGGGATTTAAAGGGAGGATTTCCTCCTGCCACCCCCCCTCCCCAGGAGCCAATGGCGGGAAGGCGGGGGGGGGCCACAGGGGAGGACAC